TATGACCAGTAGGAGGCCCACAAGCATAGCTAGTCTGTTTTAGACATGATATATTTTACCATTAAAAACATGACTTTAGCGGCCCTAGAAGCTCTTGTTCCCTCTCCCTAATTGTAATTGAGAATAAAATTATAGTAACACTCTCACTTGTTCACGCAAATTCTATAAGCTAGCTTTCCATCTTGGTATTTTCATGTATAACTATTGACCTTGGCCAAGTTATCTTTCTTGCCTGTGTTGTCCCAGTTTCCACATTTGTAACATGAGGATAATAGTAGTACTCTTGCAGGATGCTTGTTAGATGGGAGAGCACATGGGAAATGTTCAGCAAGTGGCCTGGGTGTTGCAGTGGATGGCACAGCACAGCACAGTGGATGGCAGATGTCTGCTATTTTGCTCACACCATTGCCTCAGCTTGGAGTGTCCTCCTCATTGCCTCTATCTACTGAATGTTACTCATCCAAGGACATTTATTCCAGTGCCTAAAGACCCTCCCTCCTACCTTAGGTGATTTTCCCCTCTTTTAAATGCCTAGACCTCCTGTTATCTATACCATTTATGAGGTACTTACCATGTATTTATTCATTCATTCATCCAGCAAATCATGGGCCAGGTACTGGGAACAAAGAAGTGACTAAAACATAGTCACCACATTCATGGGCCCTGCAGCCAGGGGAGGGAGACAGACATTCAGCAAATGAGCAAGCACGTTAATTAATCCAGCTCTGCTAAACGCTATCAAGACAAATTGTGGGATTCAATGAGAACCTGTCTCAGAGGCTGCAGAGTCAAGAAAGATTTCTTTGAGGAAGTGATATTCAAGGTGAAATTTGAAGGATGTTTATTTATCCTTCAAATAAATATTTGTCTATCACCATAGACAATACATATTTATTGAGGATCTACAACCTAGATGGAGAATCAGTGCACATGAACCTACAGAAAAAAATAGCAGCAGGAGGTAGTATGTGTTCAATACGAAGTGACTTGAATATATAATATTATACAGATGTTTGGAATCTCCAAGGGTTAGGGCCTTTCTTAAAAACATTTTATATAAAACGTGAGATTTGAGCAGAACCATCACTGGAAAGGTGGAACTAAGACAAAGGAGGGGAGAAAGAGGCATTCCAGGAATTACATACAGGAAAATACAAATACAGTAATACCTTGGTATGTGAGCATAATTTGTTCCAGAAACAAACTACTCGTATTGCAAGACATCACTCGTTTACCACGTTAAAATGTATTAGAAATGTTTGCTCGTCTTGTGGAACACTCGCAAACCACGTTACTCGCAATCCAAGGTTTTACTGTATATGGGCAGAGGTACAAAAAGGCAAGGCAGATTTAAACAGGTTGCTTGAACCAAGGAGTGACATAGAAAGGTAATTAAAGATAAAGGGTCAGATGATAATGGAGCTTGCTTTCTCCTAGATGGAGTTTTCTTTTTGTATCATGGACTTCTTCTCCTCATTAAAAAATAATAATAATAATAAAACAAAAGCACATTCACAAAGCTGTACACAATTTCAGGTGTTCAGATTTCCCTAAACTCTTGGTTAAGAATTACTTCTAGGGCTGGCTGAGTGGCATATTGGGTTAAGAGATTGGCTTGGGACGCCAGAGGGCCCCAGTTCGGATCCCACATATGAGGGCCAGTGACACTGCCCTCCACAGCTAAGATGCTGAACAACAGCTCAACCTGG